ACAGAAAAAAAATTCATATTACTAGAATACATTGGTATCGAAGGAACTAGATTCTGTTCCTAAATATCACTTACTCGAACCGTCCTGACCGCGTAGCTCAGTTGGAAGAGCATTGGGCTAGTATTCCAAAGGTCGTAGGTTCGAATCCCACCGTGGCCGGGCATATTTTTCAAGCTCGCCCGGTGTGGATATGCACTTAGAGTAACATCACAAACATATTATTCACCTGAGTACACAACACCAGCACAGAAAAAATTCATATTACAAGAACACATTGGTATTGAAGGAACTAGATACTGTTCGGAAATATCACTTACTCGAACCGTCCTGACCGCGTAGCTCAGTTGGAAGAGCATTGGGCTAGTATTCCAAAGGTCGTAGGTTCGAATCCCACCGTGGGCGGGCATATTTTTCAAGCTCGCCCGGTGTGGATATGCACTCAGAGTAACATCACAAACATATTATTCACCTGAGTACACAACACCAGCACAGAAAAAATTCATATTACAAGAACACATTGGTATTGAAGGAACTAGATACTGTTCGGAAATATCACTTACTCGAACCGTCCTGACCGCGTAGCTCAGTTGGAAGAGCATTGGGCTAGTATTCCAAAGGTCGTAGGTTCGAATCCCACCGTGGCCGGGCATATTTTTCAAGCTCGCCCGGTGTGGATATGCACTCAGAGTAACATCGCAAACATATTATTCACCTGAGTACACAACACCAACACAGAAAAATTCATATTAGTAAGAACACATTGGTATAGAAGGAACTAGATACAGTTCCGAAATATCACTTACTCGAACCGTCCTGACCGCGTAGCTCAGTTGGAAGAGCATTGGGCTAGTATTCCAAAGGTCGTAGGTTCGAATCCCACCGTGGCCGGGCATATTTTTCAAGCTCGCCCGGTGTGGATATGCACTCAGAGTAACATCGCAAACATAAAATCCATCATTCTGTGCAACAGGAGATTTAGGAAGGGGAGAATATTTATATATTTTTGTATTAGTATAAATATCATCTGATTGGTGAAAACCATTGAGGTGAAAGGTGAGGTGAAACCATTGGAGGTTTTTTTATGCGAAGCAATGGAGTATAATGCACCTATCAATGAAATCTACTGTGTTGGTGTAATGTACTCAGGTGAATAAAATGTTTGTGTGATGTTACTCTGAGTGTATATCCACACCAGACAGGCTTGAAAAATATGCCTGGCAACGGTTGAATTCGAACCTACGATGTTTGGAATACTAGCCCAATGCTCTTCCAACTGAGATACGCAGTCAGGTCTGTTCCAGGTCGCATTTGTCGGTCCGCGTAGCTCAGTTGGAAGAGCATTGGGCTAGCATTCCAAAGGCCGTAGGTTTGAATCCCACCGTGACCAGGCATATTTTTCAAACCTGCCCGGTGTGGATATAGACTCAGAGAATATCACACAAAGCACCTATCAATGTTAACCCCGAGGGAGGGGGGGTTGACATTTTAACAAAAAAATGTCAGATGCCACTCCCTCAGGAGAAAATTCCTGGGCAAAATTCCCCAACCCCGGGATGAAATTGTGTTCCTGCAGTTTTTGGTTTCTAGTGCACTTTATATGTCACATGATAGGGAAATTATACAAATACATTTGGCAATATAATTTAAACATAACTTAAAATATAATTAATAATTCATATACCTTGCAGCAAATCATGTCAGCCATATTATGTCACATGAGTGAGTTTATAATATCTGATAAAACACTAGCCTGTGTTCCAGTCCGCTACGGGTGTAGTGCCTGGAACACAGGCTAGTAAAACACAGTATTCTAAAATGATTGTCAGTATTCTTATAATAATTGTTCGCCCTAATTTGTATTCTTTTGTAGTAGTATTTTATGTTGTTCGCCTCGCGTTTTATATCTGATAAAACACACCCCTACTCGTGTTTTAAATTACTCATAACGTAAACTTTTAACATATAAGTATAAATCGTTATTAATATATTTATAAAATGGCTTATAAGTGTTTATTTCTTGTCCAGAAATCTCCATATTTCTTGTAAAAACAATGCTCGAGACAGCGAGCGATGAACTAGTGCCCAGTCTTCAGTTTTTTCCTGACTCTTCCAGTCCCTCGTTACATTTTAGTGCGGGAGAATATGCCCGTTCGCAGGTTAGGCGTTGACAGCTACAAGCGGATGACTGGGGACGAGTCAGAGTTTTGTTCTAAAATTGGCTCAGGTTTCTTCATTATTTTTCTTCATTAGGTTTATTCATTTCTTCATTCAGGTTTTCTTCATTTCTTCATCAGGTTTCTTCATTTTGCAAGTTGCATCAATTTTGTTCTCGTATTACTCCAATCTCGTTCCCCGAGCCTGCGATCCTTGGGAAGGAATGCGAGGCTCTGGGATAATCCATTGCCGGAAGCCAGGAATCGTGGCTAAGATTCAACTATAATTGGACTACGCGTTCCATTTCAACAGCCAATCAGATTCCTCCCTGAAATGGATTATCCCAGAGCCTCTCGTTTCTTCCCAAGGATCGCAGGCTGGGGGAACGAGATTGTATATCGTCTGAGATCATTGTTAATCTGTCAGTGTCAATCTGGGCATATTTGTCAAGCTCGCCCGGTGTCGATATACACTCAGAGTTGTTCCACAAGTATTATATTATACATGTTGCTGGAATGTTTGTTATTGAATGTCGGTTTTGCAAAAAGAAAACATTCAACGATTCTCTCTAAAGTTTATTTTCTAGATGTTTCGCTTCACCACGCTGTTCTTAGGTTAAGGTTGACATATTTTGAAGGTTGAATGATCGAAAATCAACTGAACAAGTTGTTCAACATGTAAAGGTATCATGAAAGGTGTGGTCCACTCTCTCCGTAAATTCTATATTTGAACTAGCTAGAGGTCACTCAAAGGCTGCCTCCGCCAGCAGCAATTTTGGCACTCTCCTTTTTTGGTAGGGGCTATTTCAGATCCCTGACACACTTCTTGTTGCGTTGGCATGTAATTTTCACAAAATAAACTACTCCTAACCATAGCAGTCTAACCCTATTCCCAGGCTCTCTCTCTGTACGCTGCTTTGATATGTTTAATTAAATAAGTCTTAAAAGTTTTATGCCTGGGTCAATCTCGTTCCCCGAGCCTGCGATCCTTGGGAAGGAAACAAAGGCTCTGGGATAATCCATTGCCGGAAGCCAGGAATTGTGGCTAAGATTGAACTACGCATTCCATTTCAACCGCCAATCAAAATCCTCCCTGAAACGGATTATCCCAGAGCCTTCGTTTCCTTCCCAAGGATCGCAGGCTCGGGGAACGCGATTGTGCCTGGGTGTGCTCTGCGGAACGCTTCAGCGAGAGAGCCTAGCAGATTTCGGTAAAATGGTCCCTGATTTCAAAAAAGTGGTCCCTGGCCTGGTTACCAAGCATACCTACCCCATTTGTAAATAGAACATGTTATGGAAATTTTGCTCTAATGCTCTCGGAACAATGAAATAGGCTACGTCAGTTCGCTACCATACGGCCAGAATGGAATAACGGGCTAAATATGACTTGTGTTTACTAAAAGATTAAGCCATATCACATGCTATCTAGAAGCTTGAAAATTATGCAGAGTCTCTGACTAAAAATGTTTTGACAACACAGTCATGTCAGGCAAATATTTCCAATCTCCTCAGCTACTTTAACCTGTCAAGTAGAAAGCGTAGTTGTGTATACCAGTATGGTCTAATGTTGATCACAAGTATAGTGTTGATCGCGAGTATATAAATAACATCAACGATTATACGACAAAACTTTTTTAATTGAGCACATTTTTTAATACAGTTTGAATTTGGTTATGTAGACATCGAACATGATTTACTAACAGTGTCGTTTTTACATGGTTATTAATTTCTATATACAAATTTTCAGCCATATTAAAAGTACTGAAATCTGTCAGGCGTTCTGAAGCACCTTTAGCGGCGACGTCACACCTGGATCCCAGTCTCGTACTACATCCACGTTTTTTTCTCATGCTTGCTTCAGAACGACTGGGACCAGGCTGCCCTAGTCCCTAAAACAACTTGAGAGAATGGCAAAAACGAACCCCGCGGCCTGACCTCGCTTAGGTATTTCCCACGCAGCGCCCCAATCTCGTACCCTGAGCCTGCGATCCTTGGGAAGGAAACGAAGGCTCTGGGATAATCGGTTTCAGGGAGGAATCTGATTGGCCGTTGGAATGGAATGCGTAGTTCAATCTTAGCCACAAGTTCCTTCCCAAGGATCGCAGGCTCGGGGAACGAGATTGGCAGCGTCCCTGCTGAACATGCCAGCAGATAGCTAGCTGAAAATCTTCGGAAACGAAATTGAATAAAAATTTAATAGTCAAGATTTCCTTTTGGCAAACGCATGTGCAATATTTTAAGTCAAAATGTTAATTATTTCTTAAGTTATCGTGTTCACAGACAAACACACGCATGCACACACACACAAACAAAGATGATTACATAATCTGGCGTTATTATTCACGTTATGCATGATGCTCTGTAAGTCACATGAAAACGAGGCTGGTATGTCAAAAGCTATTAGGTCTAGCTCATTTAAAAACTTCAAAACATATAATTAAAAAACAAATTGTTTTTAGTTGATTTTTCGTTATGTTGGCTTTGAAGACCACGAAAACAAATTTAAAGGTAAAAATTGACACACTTGCTTCTTTTTAAAGAGACTCGTTTCCAGGTCCCGAATGCAATCGAGACATTATACATGGCGGGTACATATATCACTTTAATTGCTACCTCGTGTTCAGGCACTATCTATCTTAATACACTTTTCGTCTATTCTAACGGGTCCGTATTTTTAATGTCCTGTTGGGCTACTTAGTAAAATAAGGACCTGTGCGTCAAGAGAATTTCAAGAAATGTGCATTTTCACTCACTATATAGCTATTCACCAATCCGGCAAACACATGCAGAGGTGATATACTTTTTTCAGACACTCATTCATTAACTATCGTACTAATGTATTTATAGTTGGATGCAGTAGACATTCTGCAAGGAACAAGCGATGAGCTGTTAAAAGCTTGTAACATAGAAGCAGGTCAGATCGTCCGGATCAGAAAGTCAATAAGTGGGTTCGCACAGCAGTAACACCTCCCGAAACAGATTTGTAATCGGCAGAACCTTCGAATAGTGATGGCAACGTCTTCCTCCATGTGGTAAGTGACTTCTCGGAGATGCAACAGGTGAGCTTCAATGCTGAAATCGTACTGGAGGTAACAGAAATCATGATATCGTCCAACGGCAACGATGAATCCGCGAAGTCACAATCAAATGATATTTCGCCTCCTGTTGCTTTCACAACCGAAGTTGTGACACCAAATGAGAAGTGGCTTTCTTCATTTGAATTACCAATAAAGGTACCGTATATAAATAATTTAGCCAAATCGGTTTTTCCACAGAAATCAGCAGGAGCTATACAGTAGTATAAAGAGCAATTTATTAATTAATTTATTAAACAAGACGTTTATTGTTTTTAGTACGCCCAGAAAGCGTACATGCATGTAGCTGTTTAATTTAGAATGACTACGCCTAGAAACAACACAGCCGTTTACTTTTGATCAAGTACTAGAATTCATAAATTCGCACACATATATTTGATTGTGTGTATGGTTAAAAAGGATGATTAGATTTTGACTTTTGTCGGATGCTCAGAGCTCATTCCACTTGCCAGATTAGTAAGATCGCTTCAGCTCGAGTAACAACACAAAGTACGACAGTAAAAAAATTCGGTTGTTGATTGCAGGCCCACAGGTGAATTGGAGCAATTGATTGGCTGAAAGTGGGGGAAGTCGACATATAAGTAATTTTGTATTCACAAGATTTCTTGTAGATTTCACATCACTTTTGACTGCATGCATTTGGAATTTTGGGCATTATTTTTGCAATTTATTGTAAACAACGATTATAAGAAGAACGGATAAATTACGATTCAGCCGTAATCGTCATAAACCTCGATGACCACCAGTGTTTTTGTGTTTGACAATTTGTATTTCATTAGATATTTATATTAATATGCAAGGTATAAACGGGTTACATCATATGAAATGATATTCTAATGAATGAATTGATAAAACGAATTATTTCTAATATGTACAACCGCGTTTTTTACATGGCCACTACTGGAACGTTTAGCTTGATTGTTGAATAAATCGATGATGCACTGTTCGATTGGAGTTCATACATTTTGTTAATAGTTGTTTTGTTTGCTATTGGCATTGATTGCAATTAATTGCTGTTTTATATAAATACACGTAGTTGCAGCAAGCAAATTAAATTTTCATTTGGATATTGTCTATTTGTTGAAAATTTTTGCCGATCTAGATTGAGAATTATTGCTTTTAGGTCGGCAATTTCTTGCTGTCTAAAATTTCTGGAGTTTCAAGGACTGGGTGCATATGTCTCACATGTATAGATATGTGTAACATTTTATATTTCGCAGAGAATTCATGCGGTCAGGCAGTGAATTTACGACTGTCGACTTTATAATTTGTTTGGCTCGTATAGTAAATCTCAAATCTCATTTATATTTATATAATCTACTGTCTTGTATTGGCACTTTAATAATGAATCCATTTAACGTTATTTATTATCATAAAAAGATTTCTTTATCATTCAGTTCCCACCCAAATGTTAAATTGCTAAATAAGTAATTAAGGCCATGCTATTAATAATATCCCACCCCAGTTGAGGGTCTTTGTTTTGTAATCCCCATAAAGAAATAAGGATTTTTATAAACCCCAGAAGAATTGCAGCCTCAAAATGCATAGACGTACGAGGCAGGCGGGAGCCAACTGCCCCCCCCCCCCAATTTTGGAAAACCATGGAAATCCGGGCAAATGCTAGGAAAATAGTTTAAATTCAAGTAATTTCATTACAATCCTCCATTTGGGCACTTTCAACTGCCCACCTGGAATGCCTATGTCAAGATGTTGTGCCCCTTAATAATTCCAGAGTCCCCAAATGAAATCTTCGACTAGTATGTATCAGTCAATAGCGGGATTAGGCAAGGTTTATATTTGCCAACAATAACATCAATCACATTCCCCGACCCTGCGATCCTCGGGAAGAACACGAGGCTCTGGGATAATCCATTCCATATCAACGGCCAATCAGATTCCTTCCTGAAACGGATTATCCCAGAGCCTCGCGTTCCTTCCCGAGGATCACAGGCTCGGGGAACGAGATTGCAATAACATCAGATTACAATAACATCAGATTACTGAGGGGGGACTGGAGTAAAAAGTGTCTTTTGTATCAGTTTGTGGTAATCATGAACACATCTGACAAATGTCAGGTTTTCAAGTTTTTTGCTTCCTTGCAGGAGTGTCATGATGCAAAATGTGGCCAAAATTAGATATAACAATTTTCGGATTATGTCCCACTCTGTGTTGAAAAAAACGTTGCTTGCTTTCTGTCAAATATTTCCCGGGGCCAAGCATATATAATGAAATGCTCACTTCCTTGTGGTGTGTACACATTGTTTTAAAGAAATATAATTGTTTCTGGTCTAGGGGCACTACAGGTGTCCATATTCATATATTCGTGTTCACATACCTTAAAATTATTTAAAAATAAATTAATAATGCACATGAACCCCCCCCCCCCAATTATCGAATTTGCTAAGGCACTGTGCAGTAAGACTTGGGTGGAGGGGATTGCACTTGAAACCAATTTTGGCCTATTACATATATCTATAAAGATTATAAATAACACTAGAGGAGGCATGGGGGTTAAATACTAGTCAAAGATTTTATTTGGGGACTCTGGAATTATAAGGGGCACAACATCTTGATATAGGCATTCCAGGTGGGCAGTTGAAAGTGCCCAAATTTTTATGGAGGATTGTAATGAAATTACTTGAATTTAAACTATTTTCCTAGCATTTCCCGGATTTCCATGGTTTTCCAAAATTGGGGGGGGGGGCAGTTGGCTCCCGCCTGCCTCGTATGCGTATGCATTTTGAGGCTGCAATTCTTCTGGGGTTTATAAAAATCCTTATTTCTTTACGGGGATTACAAAACAAAGATCCTCAACTGGGGGTGGGATATTATTAATAGCATGGCCTTATTTACTTATTTAGCAATTTAACATTTGGGTGGAAACTGAATGATAAAGAAATCTCTTTTATGATAATAAATAGCGTTAAATGGATTCATTATTAAAGTGCCAATACAAGATAGTAGATTATATAAATATAAATGAGATTTGAGATTTACTATACGAGCCAAACAAATTATAAAGTCGACAGTCTCTGCGAAATATAAAATGTTACATACATAATTTATACATTTGAGAGATACGCACCTTATTTAGGATTTGCAAGATAAAATTCTTTTAATTTCCAAAACAGCACAATCGAGAGCAATAGATTCCTATTCTGTATTTCGGAGCAAAGAAATAATTTCCATTTTTTTCGCGGTAATTTTCATTGAAATGCAAATTTCAATGTCTCTTACTCTGTGCTGACTTGCTGTATCCCCCCCGATAGCGTATAGCAAATTTGAACCCTTGCGTAAACTTCTGGTACCGGATGTTGCATTGTCTGCCACCGGAACTGCCAGATGTTACAAGTCTCTCTTTCCTTCTCGCCCCCTCAACGGTACATCATGTAACGTACAATATAAGAGAGACTTGGAGCAAGTCTATCGCTAAAACTGACCACTTGGTACCCGCAGTAATAGGCAATTCCAGCTTTTAGTTTATACGTGAATGCAGGGGATGATGGGAAGTAAGGTATATCACTGATTATGCTGAAAAATAAAACTGGTGGTCGTGTAAACACAGTGACAGCTTATACTTGTAAATATTAAAATATCTTGGTTGTTTCAGCAGTTTTTATTGAAATTTTAATATGATATCTTACTTCCTATCATCCCGTGCACACGTAAACTAAAAGCTGGAATTACCTATATTAGACGACCGGCCAACATTCTGAAATGTACACTCTGATGGCATTTTTTGTTACAAGCAGTCAACTGGTATTTTCTTATAGCTTACACATTGGTGAACAAGAATATATATATATGTTGGCACCTCTGATTTTGGCTTTATAGTTGAAAATTTCAGAATTTTAAAATTTTGCCTAATAAAGTACCATGTTGACTAATAAATACAATATTTCAAGTTCATTTCAATATTTAAAGTTGGCAAAATAGTAACTATCTGCATCAATTGTCGTTTTTTTTCATTTTCCAGTGTTAAAAGCACAAAATTGGCTACAAAAATCATACTACTCGCTTAAATGTCTTATATGTACTTTCTTGCGAACTTTCTAATGGTATAATTTATTTTTGTTAAATGTGAACTTGTAATTTTGCATTTTTCTCATCATAGTACTTTTTATAGACAAAATTTTCAAATTCTCAAATTTTCATCTATAAAGCCAAAATTAGAGTTGCCAACATGTCTAGTGTTGTTCGTTAATGCATATACTCTACGAAAATGTCAGTTGGCAGCTTGTAACAGAAAATGCCATCAAACAAATTTTGTTGCACATTTTCCGGTTTTGGCCGTCCGTCTATATTGGCGATAAGCTGTTGTGATGACCTTGCCAAAATGCTGGCAAAGTAAATTAAATTTTAAAAAATAAAATTTAAAAACTTAGTGGTGCACCATGAACATGTTCTCCCATTTCATAGCTGGCCTTGGCTTTTCTCCATGATGCCCAAATCATATGATTCTGTAAAGGGAATTGTACAAATAAGGTGTCATGCATGTAAACATGCACCCTTTGAATTAACAATTTCTTTAATATTACTTTAGTTTTCTCCTGGGGTAGCTGAAGCACTGGAAAGTAAGAATTTGACGGGTTCAATTCGGGACGAATTTAACCGCGACATATGCAACAGAATTAAATTGCATACCATGTTTCCTAAGAAGCACGAAAGGGAATACGTAGCGTTCAAGATAATATCGACTTACCCTTTTCTTGCTGACAAGATTGGTTGTGGAACGGTGGGTTCAGCTACTTGTAAATGCATGTAGGCTACCATGTTAATTTTTATTTGAGGCAGCTTTTCAAGCAACCCAATCCGCACGTTGTAACCCAGTAAATATTTGTCTTCAACAACTGTTTAAGGTTAGGGGTAATAAGGTTAGCGTATAACGTAAGTAAGTTACTGTAATTGTTAGACGTTGTTAGTAATTTTTCTGGCATACAGCGTGCGGATCAGCGTGCAGAAAGATCTTGTGATCATGTCTTTCATTTGAGTATAATTATTTTTGTGATTATTAAGACAGCATCGTTGTCCTACTGAGTTACATTAAATGAAAACAAAGCAATTGTACTTCCCTGTAAAATATCTTGCAAATGTTCTTTCGTCAATATTTCAGGTTTCCTTACTACTGCACGTTCGTTTCTTCAAAGTGAGAAAAACTATTTAAAAAGGGATTACGTACAGTAACAATGCTTGCCGATCGTTCGTATTGTTTAGGCATCTTGGGAGCAATCGATAAAGAACAGATTTAAAAACAGTAGGCGTCTTCAGCGCAACAGGTCCTTACCCCTACCAGCACTATCCTCGAGCTCCAGCTCAATCAGGGCACGACCACCTACTACGAGTAAAAAAAGCAAAGAACCTGTGCTTAGTGAAGCATTAGGTGCAGAGACAGAGGAAACTTGCCGAGAACACCTTAACTACATAAAAAAAGAGATGGACAAATCTAGAAATATGACGCTCATAAGGGAGTTGATGGACGCAACCTACATCTTCCGTAGGCAAAACATCCTAACAAGTCCAACATCTTTAAAACTGTTGTTGGCACAGTGTCCAGCTTTGAGGATGGTCTCCGAGGTATGTACAGTTTTAAGAATATTTCATGTATAGATGGTCTACTTAATACTTCAGTCAATTGACACCGCACAACTCCCCCGGCCCCTATTCACGAAAACGTTAAAAACAAATCAACCTTATCAATTTCCTCATCCCTGCATAGGATTAGGGAAAGTCATCCAGGCTTTCTGGCATCCTTGTGTAGAGAAAAGTATAGGACAAAAATAGGACTAGAATTTTAGGAAAATGTTGGAAATGCAAATAACACAAAAATATACAAAATTGGCCCCCTAGGATATATTTGGTAAGGGGTAGCCCTATAGATATCTGATGGGGAAGTTGTATGAATTTTTGGTGCTCAATATTTTTATGTACTCATTCATCTATGCAGGATTTTTTTCTCAAAACTCTTAAATTGTATTGGTATAAAAGCTAAGGCATCTGCATCAGGGCCGTTCAATTCTAGATGACATAAATCACAGCATCAAGATGGAGCCCGAGAAGAAGTCTGGTAATTATCTTCCAAGATTTACAAAATAATATTAACTTGTTTATAGGAGGCCGGTCACCAAGATTCGTACCAGACCTCTGCAGCCTCAAGCCAGAGCACAATGTCAATTTTTATAGATTAACTAACAAACAGCTCCTTGGTTAGTGATATGTCCCGCCAACCAGACTCATATGAACAGGGTCAAAAAAATGTAAAACAGATCCAAATGTTTGTTATTAAACAATTACATACATGAAAAAATGTACAACGTTTCATGCCCTGAATTATTTAGTATCTGTTTGTTAATATATTCTTTTAATTAAGTAAAATATATATAGAAGGATCCAGATATTTAAAGGCTACATTCCAGTTACTTTTTATGAAAAAATCTAAATACTTAGACATGTATTCTTCATATTTGAAAAATATGTTTATAACAAACAGGTACTTAATCATTACAAGAGAATAAGAAATGCTGTACATTTATTAATAACCAACATTTAAATGTCGTAACCTTTTGCGGAGATGCAAACCTTTCTCTAGGACACTGTCAGGACTGTCATGAACAATTGTTACAATTAAATCACAACAGAATTTTATGACTATATGGAGACCAGGCTTAAGTTCTGCAATGCAGTCTTCATGCATAACGACATGTCTGTGCAATACAACTAGCAGAGAGAGAGCTTTGCAAGTGTGCTTGCTATGTTTTATATTAGACTTTTTTAACAAAGCTCAGATCTGATCTCAGAATGAGAAATCCCCTAAAACTATTACATCAAATACTATTCATGTTGCCATTCTGCATAGTACAACCAGCACTTTGTACATTGCTTCTTCATATAAGTTATATTATTCAAGATGGTCTAATTTTGTTTATTTTTTTACCTTCTCTGCAGAAATTGAAGAGGATGGCTCTGTGATTCTGTTGCAAGCCGTCCTGAAAGAAAAAATGACTAGTGAAGGATCAGTCATTAAAATCTGCTCGGTATGGCTTTTACCATTATTTCATCCATTCTTTTGATCTGTATTATAAAAAGAAAAGATATATATATATATAAATAGAGCTCTGTAAGAAAGAAACAGTAACCAGTAGGCATCAAAAGGATCATTTAACCCATTGAGCCGCAATGCGCCCCAGTGTGCCCTACTTATTTTTTTTTACTTGTCTAAAGCCAGACGATTTTACTCGTCAATGGGGAAGCTCTGCCGCTTGATGGGTTAAACTGATTTCTCACTAATTCTCTATTGTAACAGTATATCAAATGATTACCTAATTGCCATATTTATACCAAAACCAGGTGTTTGTATATTTCAAAGGAATGACCTGTTTAGTAAATTATCTTTCCTACCTTTGACATAGGATAATGAATCAATTGATGATGCCATTGGCAATTCTGTGTCTCCGATGCTGGTTGGTGCTGGCGAATATGGGTCAATAACACCCTTGTATTTGGCAGCTGAAGGGGAAACAATCACCAAGATTCCCAATACCAACCTAATTAATGGGTTGGCAATCCTGATTGCATCATATTATGCATTTAACATAAGTTATCCAACAAAAGGGAGAAATTTCTTTGCCTTCATTGAGGCGACATTGTTAGATAACAGCGAGGATGCCAAAAAGAGGGTCAGTATTAATAAAATTTTAAAAGAAATGGACAATATATAAAACAATTAATGCATTCTAGTGTACTGTTCTTTACTAGTCAATCTATGTTGTTCAAACATTTTCACAATAATTTTGTATGTACCGGTACGTAATTTTTAATCTCCCTAAAAGTTGAAAGCCCGGGGCTGGTTGTGTCAAGGATGTTTAGCTTAAACTATCAAACAAATCTATGAACTATAGACTACAATCAAACTAATATTTTCTGTCCAAATATAACAACTATGCTACTTCCTGTGTTGGTGTAATGTACTCAGGTGAATAAGATGCTTGTGATGTTACTCTGAGTGTGTATTCAGACCGAGCAGGCTGGAAAAATATGCCTGGCAATGGTTGGATTCGAACCTATGACCTTTGGAATACTAGCCCAATGGCCGGGCATATTTTTCAAGCTCGTCTGGTGTCGATATACACTCAGAGTAACACCACAAACATCATATATTCACCTGAGTACACTATACCAACACAGAAAAAATTCATATTACTAAAACACATTGGTATTGAAGGAACTAGATTATGTTCCGAAATATCACTTACTCGAACTGTCCTGACCGCGTAGCTCAGTTGGAAGAGCATTGGGCACTAGCCCGGTTGTAGGTTCGAATCCGACCGTGGCCGGGCAAATTTTTCAAGCTCGCCTGGTGTCGATATACACTCAGAGTAACATCACAAACATCAATTTGTATTCTTTTTGGAATTTCCTATATTGAGCACGTACTATATTTCACTCTGTCTAACATATTTGGAACTATAATTTGATAAAGGAACATAGCAATAATGCCTCATAAAGGCCACATTATATTGTTTTGGTTCAGTTTTTTATACATGATGTATTAGGCTTTTGATTGGCAAAAGTTGGTGAGAGTTTTGTAAATAAGTTTATAATATTGAGTTTATAATATTGGCCATGGTGACAGTTTTGTAAATAAGTTTATAATATTGAGGATATATAATTTTTGTTTTGATAGATATTTTCAACGTTAAATTTTATTAAAGTTAAAATATATAAACTGGTTATAATATTAATACCTTGTATACTATATTCACAATATTCCGAGGACTATAGTTGTTGTACAGGTATTTTTATCGTTTGTCAACTCGTAACTTGTTTTAGTCTTTCAGAAAGCAATGATATCTCAGAAGACATTATATGACAATTCAAATGAAACGAAAATATCAAGCAAACGTCGATTGTATCCATTCCATGCATGTGATTCATGATTGACTTATTGAGTTATTGTATACATCCGTGTATGTGCATGTTCAGTTATGGATAGCGTGCTACAATAACGTGGTCGTACTGTAATTCCTTCACAGTTGCCAGTTGCTATGCAACCAACACATCGATATTTTAATATATTGATCCTCGAAGGAAATGTTTTTTAAAAGACGATAGGATAAAGAATGATTAAAGATATAAATGGACCATTTCGCAAGGTATACGTTTCTGACATTCGAAGAAGAAATAATTTTTTTAACCCCTGAAACGGAGTTAGATTTATTTAACTCCTTAAAAGGTGTTATATTTTAACACCCAATGAGTGTTATTTTAACTCCAAAACTGGGGTTAAATTTTAACACCCTAATTGGTGTTATTTGTAACCCCTAAAAAAGGATTATTTTAGACTAAACGTCGTAACCCCTCTTTTTGGTGTTAAAATAACACCCCGAAAATAACAGTGTAAGAAGAAGCGCGAGTACATTCAAGGACTTGCCGAGTCTGTGCGAGATAACTCAAAAGAATTTTGGTGTTTCTTTAAATACAAATCCAACAAGTCTACCCTGCCCGACACAATGACACACGGTGATTCGCGTTTCTCCTCATCGCAAGCAAAAGCTGACACATTCAAATCCTACTTCGCATCCGTGTTTCGACCGAATACACCATCTACCTCGGCGACAGATCTACCACCCGTGAACAGCACGGATGCCGTTGGTCTGGAGTCTATAACAATTTCTGTTGAAGAGGTTTGCTGTTTGTTGTCTGGTCTTTGTACCACCAAAGCCACTGGTCCTGATGGAATATCAGCGACATTGTTGAGAAAATGTGCGAAAGAACTGGCGCCATCTTTAACTGAACTTTTCACAATGTCGCTTGCCCATGGCAAAGTTCCTAGCGAGTGGAAACGAGCAAACGTCGTTCCAGTACCAAAGAAAGACGATCCAAGTGAAATCAATAACTATCGTCCGATTTCACTTCTCTGTATAATCTCTAAAGTTCCCGAGCATATAGTCCCACAGGCAAGTTTATGAATTCATCAAACCATCGCTCCATGATCTTCAACACGGTTTCCGTCCAAACAGATCCTGCATAACCCAATTACTGGAAGTACTTCAAGATATCACGCCTATATGAACAAAAAATTTTAATTTAATGTTTTTATATAGTTGAATTTCACATTCCAAAATATATATATATATATATTATATATATATAATATATAATATATATATAATATATAATATATATATATATATATATATATATATATATATATATATATATATATATATATATATATATATATATAATATATATATAATATATATATAATATATAATATATATACACATATACCAGACGTTCCAACTTGACATCTCCAAAAATCGGGAGGTCTGGTAAAGGCAAGAAAACGTTGACCTCTAGTGTGACTGGGTAGAAAATTTAGAAAATTTAAACTTTCTTTCAGAAGCGCCATTTCTTGATTCCGAGACTGGTGAATACAACAACTGTAAATTTCCGCCTTTCATGCGAAATATTACGAAACTTTGTCGTACAAAACACCCCTCTTGGCGAAATACCGCTTTTTTGTCGATCCGACAACCGTTTTTAC